ACACACACACACACACACACACACACACACACACACACACACAACGGAAACCATAGAGATGAGCTGCGAGAGAGAGCGGTCCAGAGACATAAAGAACGCGGAGCCGAGGCCTGAGGGTGCGCCTCCTAATGGTAACATGCAGCTCTACATCGTAGGCTCCACTGCTGAAGAAATGGGGCTAGACACTAGTCCCAAGGAATAGGGATGACCTGGTAGAGCAAAACACAAAAAAATGTTGTCCCAGTGTACCCAAGTCTACACACGAGTCAAAGAAGGAAGCAAGTGCGGTTAGGCATTAAACTTTACACTCATGAATGGGGAGAAAAGCAAACTCTTGACCCATCTAAAGAAGTCAGAAGGAAAAGCAATGATCACATCGGTAGATGTAGAGCAAAGGCTGACTGAAGGCTTAGGCAAAAGATATACAGCAAGTTGAATTCTTTCAAAATCAAGAATGATTTTCTTTTGTTTAGCATCATTTGATTTTTCTGCCTATATCGCCATCTCTCCTACTTGAATATATGCTTGCTGTGAAACCTATGTTATCAGTGGCCAACCATGGACATCTCACATTTTCAAACAATCTATATTGATTATAAAAGGCCATATTAACTACTTCTATTGCTTGGACAGTTCTTACGGTTGGCTGTAAGAGGCCCAATTCTAAGATGTATACCAAGATTTGTACCCCATGATGTACACATCCTGTATACATTTCTCCCCTTCAAAGAAAACAGAACTGTGAATATGATAGAGCATCACTCCTGTAATTAGGTTAGCTTATATGACAAGGATGTAATTAAAGCCCCTAATCAGTTAACTTTGAGACAGTCAAAAAGGAGGTGATTTATCCTGATGGGCTTAATCTTATCTCTCTAGCCCTTTAAATCAGTGCTAGAGGTCAGAGACAGAATCTAAGAGATTTGAAGCCACAGCACAGCTGTCCTGTTCACCTTGAAGGAGCAAACTGCCATACGGCAGGAAATGGCAAGTGGATTCCAGGAGCTGAAAAAGGCTCCTGGGTGACAGCCAACAAGAAAGTGGGCACCTTAATCCTACAAACACAAGTAACTGAATTCTGGCAACCAACCACTGAACTTGGGAAAGTACACACACAGAGTCTAAGATGAGATTGCCAACCCAGCCAACACCTTGATTTCAGCCTGATAAGACCCTGAGCTGAGGACTCAGCCAACCACTACCTGGACTCATGGAATATGTGAGAAAATAAATTCGTGTTTTGGGCTGCTGAATTTATAGTAATTTGTTATGCAGTAATAGAAAAGAATGCAGTGGCTTAACTATGTAATTATGCTACATAGTAACCATGTTACACCAAACCGATAATAGGGCTACCTCTGTGGAAGAGTTCGAGGCTGCAGGTGGCAATCAAGGCTTTCATTTTATCTGCAGTGTTTGAAATTTTTTTTTTTTTTTTTTTTTTTTTTTTTAGCTAGGGTCTCACTCCGTCACCCAGGCTGGAGTGCAGTGGTGCAATCTTGGTTCACTGTAATGTCCACCTCCCCAGCTCAAGCAATCCTCCTACCATAGCCTCCCAAGTAGCTGTGACTAAAGGCGCATGCCACCATGCCTGGCTAATTTTTTTTTCTTCTGTAGAGACACGGTTTTGCCATGTTGCCCAGGTTGAATGTTTGAATTTTTACAAGAATGTATTAATTCATAACCTTGGGAATTAAAAATAAATTAGGGCAGGCATGATGGCACATGCCTGTAATCTCAGGACTTTTCGAGGCTGAGGCAGGAGGATCACTTGAGCCTGGGTGTTCCAGGCAACATAGCAAGACCTCATCTCTACAAAAAATTTTAAAAATTAGCTCAGTGTGTTGATGCATGCCTGTAGTCCCAGCCACTAGGGACACTGAGGTAGGAGGATTGTTTGAGCCTGAGAGGTGGAGGCTGCAGTGAGCCATGATCATGCCACTGCACTCCAGCCTGGATGACAGAGCAAGATCCTGTCTTCCTAAAAATAAAGAAATAAATTAAGATCAAGAAGATTAAAAGAACTAAAATCGGTAATGAAACAGGGATATTACTACTGACTTTACCCCCCCCCCCAAAAAAAGCATATAAGGACATACTGTGAACAATTGTATGTCAAAAAATTAGAGAACCTAGATGAAATGAACAGATTCCTAGAAAGGCACAAGCTATAATCGCTGATTCAAGAAGCAATAGAAAATCTGAATAGACCTGTAACGAGAGATTGAATTAGGAATCAAAAACATCCCATACAGAAAAGCCCAGAAACTGGGCATGGTGGCTTACATCTGTAATCCCAACACTTTGGGAGGCAGAGGCAAGCGAATCACTTGAGGCCATAAGGTCACAACCAGACTGGGCAACATGGCGAAACCCCATCTCTACAAAATCTCCCCGGCTGAAAAAAACACAAAAATTAGCAGGCATGGTGGCACACCTGTAGTGCCAGCTATTCAGGAAACTGAAATGGGAGCATCACTTGAGCCCAGAAGGTGGAGGTTGCAGTCAACTGAGATCGCACCACTGCACTCCACTGCACTCCAGCCTTTTGAGACAGAGCTAGGCTTTGTCTCAAAAGAAAAGAAAAGGCCGGGTGCAGTGGCTCATGTCTGTAATCCCAGAACTTTAGGAGGCTGAAGTGGGAGGGGGATCACCTGAGGTCAGGAGTTCGAGACTAGCCTGGCCAACATGGCAAAACCCCCATCGCTATCAAAAATACAAAAATTAGGCATGGTGGTGTGTGCCTGTAGTCCCAGCTACTTGGGAGGCTAAGGCAGAAGAATCACTTGAACTCAGGAGGCGGAGGTTGCAGTGAGTTGAGATCGTGCCACTGCACTCCAGCCTGGGCAATAGAGCAAGATTCGTCTCAAAAAAAAAAAAAAAAGAAAGAAAGAAAAAGAAAAAAAAAAAAGCTCAAGACTGGATGGATTCACTGATGAATCCTACCAAACATTTTTTTTTAAATTAACACTGGTCTTGGCGCAGTGGCTCATGCCTGTAATCTCAGTACTCTGGGAGGCTGAGGCAGGCGGATCACGAGGTCAGGATATTGAGACCATCCTGGCTAACACGGTAAAACCCCGTCTCTACTAAAAATACAAAAAAATTGGCCGGGCGTGGTGGTGGGTACCTGTAGTCCCAGCTACTCAAGGGACTGAGGCAGGAGAATGGCGTGAACCTGGGAGGCAGGGCTTGCAGTGAGCCGAGATCGGGCCACTGCATTCCAGCCTGGGCGACAGAGTGAGACTCCGTCTCATTAAAAAAAAAAAGATAGAAAGGAAAAGAAAAGAAAAAAGAAAACTATAGACCAATATTTCTTGTGAATATAGATGCAAAAATCCTAACAGAATACTAGCAAACTCAGTCTAACACCACATAAAAAGAATTATGGGCCAGGCACGGTGGCTCACACCTGTAATCCCAGCACTTTGGGAGGCCTAGGCAGGCGGATCATGAGGTCAGGAGATCGAGACCTGGCTAACATGGTGAAACCCCGTCTCTACTAAAAATACAAAAATTAGCTGGGCGTGGTGGTGGGCACCTGTAGTCCCAGCTACTTGGGAGGCTGAGGCAGGAGAATGGTGTGAACCCAGGAGGCGGAGCTTGCAGGGAGCCGAGATCACACCACTGCACTCCAGCCTGGGCGACAGAGCGAGACTCTGTCTCAAAAAAAAAGAATTATATACTATGACCAAGTGGGATTTATTCTAGGAGTGCAAGGTCAGTTCAACATCTGAAAATGATCAATATAACACACCATGTAGTAATCAATATTTTATTGATTAATCATTTGTAATCAACATAATACACTATATTAGTAAAAGAAAAAAAAACCCTACATGATCATCTCAATAGACACAGAAAAAACTTTTGACAAACTCCAACACCCTTTCATGATGAACACAGGGTTCCAAATGATACTGTAAGAAAGTTATAAAACCTATGAGTCAGAGAAAATATTTATGAATTGTGTATCTGATCAGATACAATCGTATCTAGAATACATAAAGAAAACTTAACAATTCAACAATAAAAAGACAAACCAATTTAAAAATGAACAAAGGGTTTGAACAGACATTCCGCCATGGCCAATAAGCACATGGAAAGATGCTCAGCATTATTAGTCATCAGGGTATTGCAAATGAAAACTGCAATGAAGTACCATTCATGGGCACTCACATGGTGATACTAAAAAAAGACAATAAGTGTTGGTAAAGATGTGGAGAAACTGGAACCCTCACACACTGCTAGTGGGGATGTAACATGTCACAGCTGCTTTGAAAAACAATTTGGCAGTTCTTCAAAAGTTAAACCATAGAGTTACCCTATGACCCAGCAATTCTACTCCTAGGCATATAACCAAAAGAATAAAAAACATACATCCAGACAAAAACTTATACAAGAATGTTCATAGCAGCATTATTCATAATAGCCAAACAAGCAGAAACAACTCAAAGGTCCATTAACCAATAAATGTATAAATAAAATGTTGTACTGTACATTCATATGATGGAATATTATACAGCCCAAAAAGGAATGAAGTACTGGTATGTGCTACAACACAGACAAACTTTGAAAACATTATCCTAAGTGAAAGAAAATGGACACAAAAGGCCACATATAAAATGATCCATTTATATAAACTATTCTGAATAAGCAAATCCATAGAAACAGAAAGTGAATTAGTGGTTGCCAGCAGGTAGAAGTAGAGGCAACGTGCTAATGTGTATGGGTTTTTCGGAAGCGATAAAAATGTTTTAGATAGTGATGATTGCACAACTTTGTAAATGTACTAAAAATAACTTTATCGTAC